GTTTCACCATGTTGACCAGGATGGTCTCGATCTGTTGACCTCGTGATCCACCCACCTCAGCCTCTCAAAGTGCTGGGATTACAGGCTTCAGCCACCGCGCCCGGCCTAATCTTTGAGATTTCTAAAGCCAGACATGATGGCTTATTCACCGTTATATCCTAGAACCTAGAAGACGCTTAGACCTTCAGAATGAATGAATAGATGCATATGAGAATAATGCATGGCTGACAGCATAGGTGAGCAATAACCCTCTAAGGTAGGCTTTCTTTTTCCATTCTGTCAGAGGTGTTTGAACCACAGTGACGCTGTCTTGAATAACAGGCTGGATAAAATGAGGCTGATCTATTGGGCTGCGTTCCTAGGAGGTTAGGTGTTCTTAGTCACAGGATGAGCTAGGAGGTCAGCACAAGATACAGGTCACAAAGACCCTGCTGATAAAACAGCTTATAATTAAGAAGCTGCCCCAAACCCACCGAATCCAAGATGGCAACGAAAGTGGTCCTGATCACTGCTCATTATACACTGATTATAATGTATTAGCATGCTAGAAGACACTTCCACCAGCACCATGACAGTTTACAAATGCCATGGTAAGAATCCAAAGTTACCCTGTATAGTCAAAAAGGGGGAGGAATCCTCAGTTCTGGAGAATTCCTGCCCCTTTCCTGGAAAACTTGTGAATAATCCACCCCTTGTTTTGCATGTGATCAAGAAATAAACCATAAAAATAGCCATCCAGCAGCCTTATGAGTAGCCATTCTTTTATATCTTTACTTTCTTAATAAACCTGCTTTTACTTTATCGTATAACTTGTCCCAGATTCTTTCTTGCATGAGATCCAAGAATCCTCTCTTGGGGTGTGGATAAGAATTATTTCCAGTCACAATTCCATCCCAAGACAAACTCCCCTCCAGAAAGAACAAAAGACTTCTTCATCCTCCTATGCAAAGGAGCAGAGCCAGGACTTAACTTCAGAGTTTCTGACTCCACCTTGAATGTTGGATCCAACAGAAATGAGGGAAAGAAGGCCAGAGTATTACATAGCCTGCCAGCAGCATGGAGTAGCAATGCTTTTTAAAAATAATTTTGTTAACACACACCAGGACTGTTTAAAATGTTGGGTAAAGACACACAGAGATAATCTGAAGACTATTTTTTCCACCTAACGCAAGTCTGACTCTGCCTTTAGCTTTTTTCATCTTAGAAACATTTTTACAACAAATGGATCCCAATCTTTTCAGGATTCAGTTTGCAATCCTCGACAAATTAAGGACCCTAAAGAATCAATTATTTTTACTTATCTCTCAGGCTGAAGGGGAGGGAGCCCTATATTTCTGGAACTTTGGCTTTGAAACCTCTTGAAAGCATTACAGAAAAGCCAAGGGAATTAGACAATAAGGATTCTTTCAAAACAGTAGGATTTAAAGGATCTTATTACCTACTTCATAATCTTACCCTCAGGCTATAGAAAGTATTAATTGGAGCCAGGACGTCCAAATGGGAACAGCCACTATAAATCATCTATATTGTTGAAGTCTGTTTTTTATCTCTTTAATTTGTTACATTGCCTCACCCTTGGCATCTCTTTCAGATAAACCTATCCAACTCCTGACTCCCTGGAGTTATGGGTATTTTTTTTTTCTTCTGGGCACAGAGAAGGAAAAAAATTAAAAGGAGCTAGGCCAAGTGAATCAATGGCACTTCAAATCCCATTTCCTGCCTTCATCAGCGGTTGATCCCTTTCAAGGAAAGTGGGATGGAGAACAGAGCCGGCAGGCTCCAGGCAACTGGAAAAACCCACCCCAAGCATCTCTAGAGGAAGCTTGCACAGGGCCTGCATCCCAAGCACCCAGTTCTTACAAGCAATAATATCCCTTTTCTGTACAGATAGTGTGAAATGCTTTAAAGTAAGTTGGAATGGCTGACAGCTCCTCTGATAAATGAAAACAGGATGTACTAATCCGATCCTGTTGTTTCTCTGTGGCTAGGCCGGAAAACCACCTTCTTCCCTCTTATACATTTCTGTAGTGAGACTGGAAACATTTATTTTTTTATTTGAAGCAAGAATCTTTGGTTAAAAATGCTATAATCCCATAGAAAATGCAGGGGGAAAAGGATCTTCAATCTTCCCAAGGAACAAAAAGCAAAATCTACTCCTGTTATAGAAAAATTATTCTTGGTAAAATTTCTTCCCATTTGTAAAAGGTTTCTGAGTGTACTCACCTAGTGTATAATTCTTCTTCTTCTTTTTTTTTTTTTTTTTTTTTTTGGCAAATGCTACCTTTTGAGAGCAATCTAGGTTGCTAAACTATTTCTCAAGTTGAGGTCCTTGAATTGATTTGCTCAGGGGCTTGTTAAAAATGCAGATTCTGTGCTGGGCGCAGGGGCTCACACCTGAAATCCCAGCACTTTGGGAGGCCACAGTGGGTGGATCACAAAGTCAGGAGACTGAAACCATCCTGGCCAACATGGTGAAAACCCGTCTCTACTAAAAATACACAGATTAACTGGGTGTAGTGGCACGTGCCTGTAATCCCAGCCACTCAGGAGGCTGAAGCAGGAGAATAGCCTGAACCAGAAAGTCGGAGGTTGCAGTGAGCCAAGATCGCTCCACTATACTCCAGCCTGGTGACAGAGTAAGACTCTGTCTCAAAAAAAATACAGATTCTGGGGTGCCATTCTCAGATTTATTGGCTGCAAATTTGGGATAGGGGCAGATACTGGAAATGTCTCAACCTCTTTAGGAAGTTCCTATGCATGGTAACGTTTGAAAACCACTGGTATAATAAATGAATTCATGGGCTTCAGAGCCAGAAAAAAAACAGGATTTGAAGCCTGACACTACCTTCCCAATTTAATACACAAGGGAAATCAGCTACTATGAAGAGGATGCATTTACACCTTCTTGATTTAATCAGGTGAACGAAAATTCTGGATGAATATCAGTGGCTCTAGGATGTCAGTTTCACAAAGATTTTATAAATTACCATCAACCAACTTTATTTAACAAAGACAGATTATCCCTTTTAGGGAAATGCTATGTTCCGTGTAACTGACTTACATCATTTTTGTTTCCATGTTTCTCAACTCCGGTCATTTCACTGTAAGTTGTGAGACGGGCATGCCATTTTGATTCTCACAGGTTTTGGCTATATCTGCATGGTAGGCACTACAGAAGAATTGCTGTCAGTAAAAGATGACTTGAATTCCAACTGTCAATCTCTCTGATACTTTCACAGATTCTAAACTTAGAAATAGCCAAAGAGCTGACCCAAGAAAGCTTGGGATCTGGGTACTGGGTGTTTTGATTGGTAAGAATTTCAATCTTTGTTGTTGTTGTTGTTTTATTTTTTAATTGCATTTTAGGTTTTGGTGTACATGTGAAGAACATGCAAGATTGTTGCACAGGTACACACATGGCAGTATGATTTGCGGCCTTCCTCCCCATCACCTATATCTGGCATTTCTCCCCATGCTATCTCTCCCCAACTCCCCACCCCCTGCTGTCCCTCCCCTATTTCCCTCTGACAGACCCCAGTGTGTGATGCTCCCCTCCCTGTGTCCATGTGTTCTTATTGTTCAACACCTGCCTATAAGTGAGAACATGTGGTGTTTGATTTTCTGTTCTTGTGTCAGTTTGCCGAGAATTATGGTTTCCAGGTTCATCCATGTCCCTACAAAGGACACGAACTATTTGTTTTTTATGGCTGTATAGGATTCCATGGTGTATATGTGCCACATATTCCCTGTCCAGTCTATCATCGATGGGCATTTGGGTTGGTTCCAAGTCTTTGCTATTGTAAACAGTGCTGCAATAAACATTCGTGTACATGTGTCCTTATAGTAGAACGGTTTATAATCCTTTGGATATATACCTAGTAACAAGATTGCTGGGTCAAATAAAATTTCTATTTCTAGGTCCTTGAGGAATTACCACACTGTCTTCCACAAAGGTTGAAGGAATCACCACACTGTCTTCCACTAATTTACACTCCCACCAACATGCTTAAAACCCTCAATAAACTAGTTATTGATGGAACGTATCTCAAAATAATAAAAGCTATTTACGACAAACCAACAGCCAATATCATACTGAATGGGCAAAAACTGGAAGCATTCCCTTTGAAATCTAGCACTAGACAAGGATGCCCTCTCTCACCACTCCTGTTCAATATAGTACTGGAAGTTCTAGTCAGAGCAATCAGGCAAGAAAAAGAAATAAAGGGGATTCAACTAGGAAAAGAGGAAGTCAAATTGTCTCTATTTGTAGATGACATGATAGTATACCTAGAAGACCCCATTGTCTCAGCCCAAAATCTCCTGAAACTGATAAGCAACTTCAGCAAAGTCTCAGGATACAAAATCAATGTGCAAAAATCACAAGCATTCCTATACACCAATAACAGACTTAAAGAGAGCCAAATCAAGAACAAACTGCCATTCACAATTGCTACAAAGAGAACGAAATACCTAGGAATACAACTTACAAGGAATGTAAGGGACCTCTTCAAGGAGAACTACAAACCACTGCTCAACGAAATAAGAGAGGACACAAACAGATGGAGAAACATTCCATATTCATGGTTAGGAAGAATCAATATTGTGAAAATGGCCATACTGCCCAAAGTAATCTATGGATTCAACACTATCCCCATCAAGCTACCAATGACCTTCTTCACAGAACTGGAAAAAAAAACACCTGAAACTTCAATTTTTTTTTTAATGTTTAGTTGATACTCAACAGAATCAAGACCCCCAAATCTAGTGGTAAATTGTGTTAAGGAGTGGATTTTTATATTTTTTAAACTTACACTGATTGCAATAATAGAAAACAGTGTGGGTGAGCTTAAGGACATGATGATGGTGATGAAGGTGGTGGTGATGATGATGGTGATGAGGGTGATGACAGTGATGATGATGGTGATGATGATGATGATGGTGATTATGATGATGGTGGTGATGGCAATGGTGATGATGGCTATGGTGATGATTATGGTAACGGTGGTGATGGTGATGAGGGTGATGACAGTCAGGATGATGGTGATAATGATGATGATGGTGATGATGATGGTGGTGACGGCAATGGTGATGATGGCTATGGTGATGATTATGGTAATGGTGGTGATGATGATGATGATGATGGTGATGATGATGGTGATGAGGGTGATGACAGTCATGATGATGGTGATAATGATGATGATGGTGATGATGATGGTGGTGATGGCAATGGTGATGATGGCTATGGTGATGATGATTATGGTAACGGTGGTGATGGTGATGATGATGATGGTGATGGTGATGGTGATGATGGTGATAGTAGTGACAGTGATAATGATGGTGTTGATGATGGTGATGGTGATGACTGTGGTAATGATGTTGATGGTGGTGATGGCAATGGTGATGATAATTATGGTAATGGTGGTAATGGTTATGATGATGATGATGATGGTGACAGTGGTGATAGTGGTGACGATGGTGATGGTGATAGTGATGATGGTGACAATGGCCATGATGGTGGTGATGATGAGGAGGATGATGGTGATAATGGTAACAGAGATATTTCAAAGAATCCAATGACAAGCTGCACAAGCAAATTAATAGAAACACAGGAAGTCACGAGTGCTCTTGAGTTTTCATCAAGAAGAGCTAATGGATCTTTGTTCTAGAACCTTGGTTTTACTTGGCTTTGCTCCCAACATCCATAAAAGAGAGAAAGAGAGACTCTAATTGACCCCCTAAAGTCACTTCTCCCTTTGACCAATGTACCATGGCCTGGAGAGAAGGGTCTTTCCTCCCATGGAAGTGTCATGGTGTCTTGCAGATCCATCCCTGAGAGTGCGGTGGCCAATTCCCAAAACAGCCATCCAAGGCCATCTCATTGTCATTTACCACAGTCAAAGAACAAAAATAAAGTAGAATAGAATGCAAACTGCCAATAGACTGGTAGCTTGTTGAGGACAGAATCTATGCCCGATCCATCTTTCTGATATTCCCCATAAAGACTCAGTGGTTGAGAGCACTGGTTTTGAACCCACCTTACCTACTTCAGTTTAAATGGCCATTCCTCTTACACGTTATCTGACTTTGGCGACATCTCGAGTACTGTTTACTCATCTGTAAAATAAAGATAGCACTAGCACGTAACTCCAAAATTTTTGCAAGGATGAAATGTGAACACAAGTATCCTCTTAACACAGCACCAGCAAAGTACAGGATTTCACCATCTCCGAAGCACTACTGGGCCAACTTTCAACCATAGCCCAGACAGGAAGGTACAAACGTCACCAACTGACAGCAGACAGACTATTTTTTTCAACCTGAACCTGTTGGATTATCCTTTTAAATCTAAAAGAAGCATCCCAAGGATGGTTGTCTGGAGATGTCAAAGCCGTCCCTTAGCAGTGAGGTATGCCCCATGATGAACCAATCCCAGCTCATCCAATTTAGGCACCACGGGGAATCTTCCTGGTATCTTCCTTGATATCTCAGAATACACCTTCATGCTCTGCTTCCACTAGAGGAATCATTCTAATTCTTACATGGTATAACTCAGTGAGAAAAGGGCAAGTCTTAACCTCCTTCTCACCCAATCTCCAGCCTCTTCCCCTCAGGGCTGGAAATAGAAACAGGGTTTGGGCTTCCAGGAGAGGTGGAAACCTGTGTCCACCCCTTCAAAGTGCCTGGAGAAGTCGGGACCTGGGTGGGGCATGGCTGCAAGAAGATTCATGGAGGCTTGGGGCTCCATCAGCAACACACCTGCTGCCAAGCCTGTCTTTGGAAGAAGACTACAGGACATCACTGGGAAGTACTGGGCAGTGCTCCAAAGGCATAATAGCTACCCCCAGGGGGCACAGCATCCCACCCTGATCTTTCTGGGACTATGTAAACCTTTGGGTTCTTGTATAGTCCAATGGGGGAAAAATTCCAAATATCAGACTTCTCAATGACCTTGACCAATTGGGGTTGTGGAGTGTGGCATTTCTTGCACCGCCATGACAGTGGGGCAATGTCTCCTGATACATATTGGAATCATGACCTTTTTGCCCTCTCCCTATGGCGGGCTTCATTGTTCCCTTCTCTTTTTTTTTGAGACAGAGTCTCGCTCTGTCACCAGGCTGGAGTGCAGTGGCGCAATCTCGGCTCACTGCAACCTCCACCTCCGAGGTTCAAGCAATTCTCCTCCCTCAGTGTCCTGAGTAGCTAGGACTACAGACGCGTGCCACCATACCCAGCTAATTTTTTATATTTTAGTAGAGATGGGGTTTCACTATGTTGGCCAGGATGGTCTCGACCTCTTGACCTTGTGATCTGCCCACTTCGGCCTCCCAAAGTGCTGGGATTACAGGTGTGAGCCACCTGTAATGAGGTGCCCGGCCTCCTTGTTCCCTTCTGTTTTTTGTTTTTTTGTTTTTTTTTTGAGACAGCGTCTCACTCTATCACCAGGTTGGAGTGCAGTGGCGCGATCTCGGCTCACTGCAACTTCCGTTTTCTGGGTTCAAGCAATTCTCCTGCCTCAGCCTCCCAAGCAGCTGGGACTACAGGCATGCACCACCACACCCGGCTAATACTTTGTACTTTTTAGTAGAGATGGGGTTTCACCATATTGGGAAGGATGCTCTCGATCTCTTGACCTCGTGATCTGCCCACCTCAGCCTCTTGAAGTGCTGGGATTACAGGTGTGAGCCACCATGCCCAGCCTCATTGTTCCCTTCTTAACTGGGGCCATTCCTTCAGTCTTCCACCCACGGAAAGTCAGTGAGGCCTAGGCCTGTAAGGCCAAGAACCAGAGAAGCCAGGAGAGACCTTCAGAAAAGGGCCAGCTGCAGAGAAGATAGGCAGCGAGTTAAAGGGAGGTCCAGGCAGGATCTACAATAATGATGGGATCTGGGTACTGGGTGTTTTGATTGGTAGGCATTTCAATCTTCTTTTTTTTTCAGTCTAGTTGATACTCAGCAGGACTAAGCTCCCATATCTACTGGTAAATTACGGTAACAAAAAAGTACCAGGATGCGGTAAATCCTTCCAGGTTCCATCTACCAGCAGCACAAGGTAGCTCCAAACCAAGATCCTAATAATCATATTAGGATCTACTTTTGCAGTGATCTAGCTGCTGTGCTAAGCACATGATGTACACTAATCTCACCTAGTTACCCCAGCAACCCTGACAAATAGCATTAAGAACCCCACCCTGTATGGGAAAAAACAGACCCCATAACTTGCCCGAGATTACTCAATTGGGAAAGTAACAGCTCACTTGCCCCTTGAAGCAACAAACCCTCAACTCTTCCCTGGGCCACATTAGGGCTGATTCAGGGCTTGGGCAGATCTGATCCTGAAAGAGAAGAATAGAACTCTTCCTGGAGTGTGGAGGGAATGGGGTAAGGACCAGATTGCTCTGGTGGTCTTTTCTATTCCTTCTTAAGGATGACGGGAGGGATAAACAGACCTGACTCAAAGTAGAGCTGTTTTCATTATTCACAGTAGTAATGATCCCTAAAGTTACTACCAACAGTGAATCAGTGAATACCGAAACATTGCTCCTAGTGGACATGCAGAGTTAGGTTCCTGCAAGCCTTTGATCCCATTTTCATCAATTGATCAATGCACAAACTTGTTTACATGGGTTTCTGTAGAACAATACTTTTTCTCATATCTGTTATTGATTCATTGACATTAAACTGACAGACAACAGCACTATAATTTATGCCTGAATGAAGCTCATGTAATACATGTATTTTCTCCATAAGACACATAACGAAACCTTCTCATGCTTAGGAACACTAGACAGGACTTCAGCAGTACATTTGGGTGGTGCATTTGGAACAGTGAAATAACCAACAAAAGCACAAAAAATGGGAACATGTGGCACAGAGATCACAAAAAAGATGATTATTTACAGAATGAGCTGGAACAAGGAGGCAGAGTCACCTGGTTTAACCTCAGCTATGCGTGTCCTTTGGGCAACCCCATATTTTCAACATTCTGTGCCTCTCTGAGAATGACCATGAAAAAGCTGCAGGATTTGAGGGTTGCACATAAAGTTCATGGAGTAAGGAAATACACAAGATCACAATTCCTGAAATGGTGAGGAGTGACTGTAGCTTCTTCATGACCTCTATAGTCTTTGATGAGAAGAACATCCAAGTCTGTAAAAGGAATATAATACCAGCCCATTCTCAGGGTGTAATGGTGACAATGCAAAAAACAAAAAAAACAGGCAGTGGTAGTTTTATAAAATGGGCTCAGAGGGCCAGGCACGGTGGCTTGTGCCTGTAATCCCAGCACTTTTGGAGGCTGAGGTGAGTGGATCACCTGAGGTTGGGAGTTCAAGACCAGCCTGGCCAACATGGTGAAACCCCATCTCTACTAAAAATACAAAAATTAGCCAGGCATTCTGGCATGTGCCTGTAATCCCAGCTACTTAGAGGAGGCTGAGGCAGGAAAATTGCTTGAACCTGGGAGGTAGAGGTTGCAGTGAGCCAAGATTGTATACCTGCACTCCAACCTGGGCAACAGAGTGAGATTCCATCTTGGAAAAAAAAAGGGGGGGGGGGTTGCTCAGAAAGCATTCCTTTCCTTCTCTCTGTGTCCAGGCACATGCATTAATTAATATCTCAAGCTGAGCATCATGGCTCACTCCTGTAATTCCAACGCTTTGGGAGGTTGAGGTGGGAGGATCACTTGCGGGCAGGAATTTAAGACCAGGCTGGACAACGTAGGAAGACCTCATCACTACAAAAAAATTTTTCAATAGTCATGCTTGCTGACATGCTCCTGGGAAGGCTGAGGTGGGAGGATCCTTTGAGCCCAGGAGTTTGAGGCTGCAGTGAGCTATAATTGTGCCATTGCACTCCAACCAGGGGTACAGAAAAATACTTTGTCTCTAAAAACAATAATAATAATAAATTATCTCCAATCCCAACAACTGTTAAGGAGCCTCTGCAAGGCTGACTACTCAAAGCCACACAGCTTGAAAGCATCCAACCCAAAATTTTAGCAAAAAGGACCCATTTTCATTCCTCTCAAGCCACTGCCAAAATAACTACTATATGCATAGGCTTGGCTGTTGGTATTTGTCTTCTTTCTTTTGTTTTTTTGTTTTTTCCTCACTTCCTCTTCTCTCAGCCCAGGGAGACTGACTACATCAAGGAAGGAAAGGAGGCGATTCGTCTAGACCTGGCAAATGCCATCACACAGCAAGCCTGCCTGTGGCAAGTTCATGCATCAGGTAAGGGCGTTGGATCCCAGCAAGTCACACAGCACCGAAGTCATCTTCACCTTTCAGCTTCTCCCAGGCCATTCACTCACCAAATAGACAAATATCTGCATTTTTGTAGGTAAAATGAATGCAGAAGGAGCTATTTCCAAAGACAAATGACTGTCCTTTCTCCTTCAGCAAAGTTTAAAAAGGTAAAAATTATCATATTACGGGCACAGTGGTCATGGAGAGAAAATGAGGCCACTTCTCATCAGGGGGAATTGCACTCCTTGCATGGGAATGTTTTAGCATTAAATGAACTCTCCTATCTCCCGCCTGCTAATAAGAAAGCCTTCACCTCCTGGTTTGGCAGGGGATCTGAAATTTGCATTTAGATGGAGCTGTTGTAAAGATGGCCCAGCACAGGAGCCTCCCTCCCTTATTTACAATAGCAGCTGTGTGATAAAATTATTATCACATAAGTGGTTGTTTTGCTGGTTTTAACAGGGCTGGAAGCAGAATGGAAGCCTGTCATCTGAATTAGTCAATGAAAGGAGAGGATCGCTTCTCCGCATGGTGGTAGCTCAGGAGCCACCTTGACAACAGGGAGGTGTGCTATCTCCCTTCTGTCCCCCAGAGCAAGGCCAGCAAGAAGATGCTGGCAGTACAGGCAGTGGTGGAGGCTGCTATTGCTTTTCGGATGGATTTCATGTTACAATTTGCAGATCATTGGAGGTAGACAGCACATGAATTATTGCTCTCATTTTTCAGATGAGGAAACTGAAACCTGGGAGGGGAGAGTACAATGATTCTCCTTTAGCCATGCCTAGAAAATGCCAGAATTTGAATGAAATGGTAATCCCAACACAACACACTGTCTACCACCAACATCTACCCTTCTCCTTACCTTCCACCCACCCTTGAAAATTCATCTTGAGTACTTAGGATGCAAAAAAAGAACAGCGAAGCTGGAAACAAAAGAGCTATCATTGATTCTGATTCCTGTAAGCAACGATGCGACCTTAGGTTGGTCCCTCTTCCTGTTTTTCCTTTAGCCTCAAAGATTTACCCGTAAAAGTCAAGGATTTGGACAAGTATATTGAGGAGAAAAGCTTGCCTCTCTTGCCTGAGCATTCCAGCTCATTTTAACATCGCATATGTGCCCCTCGTGTGAACTGTCTGAGCAAATGTACTGCAGCTGTTGCAGGTGTCAAGAACATTAGTCTGTTTCCAGCTCTTGCTCAGTGATTTTCAGAGTTTAGCTACCTTTGCAACCACCTGAAGGGCTTGTTAAAACACAGTTTGTGGGGCCCCAGCCCCCAGGATTCTGATTCAGTAGGTTCAGGGTGCAGCCTGGGAATCTGCATTTCTAGTATGCTCTCCAGTGACACTGATGCTATCCATCCGGAGATGACACTTTGATAACTACTCCCCTAAAGATAAGAAAACTCATCCAATGCACGACTCTGGCCCCTCCCTTTCTGTGCCATAACTAGAGCTTCATCCTTTCCCATTATTTTTAAAATTTTTTAAGAGACTAGGTCTCGCTCTGTAACCCAGGGTGGAGTGCAGTGGCGTGACCATGGCTCACTGAAGCCTGGACTTCCTAGGCTCAAGCAATCCTTCCTCTTCAGCCTCCCAAGTAGCTGGTACTACAGGTGTGCACCGTCATACCTGGCTCCTTTTTCCTGTTTTATTGTGGAGATGGGGTCTCACTATGTTGCCCAGCCTCATCTTGAACTCCTCCTGGCTTCAAGTGATCTTCCTATCTCAGCCTCCCAAAGCACTGGGAGTATAGCCACAAGCCACTGCACCAAGCCCTTTTACCAACTGTGTCTGCCTACCTGCGACGACATCACATGGTACAAGCCCAACAAGTGAGGTATCTTCCTTCCATCCGAGTGCTTTCATTGGCTGGGGGAACAATAACCGCCATAACTGACCAAACTTACCTCCGAGCTAGAGAGGCTGATCTTGAAATAAGCCGGCAGAAAAAAATCCCTATTTTGCAGGAGCTACAAAGCCAAGTCATACAAGGTCATTGGATGGTTAGTCAAATGATATACGTTGGTTGTATGTCCTATAATCAATAGACGTGTAACTTCCCTTTATCTAGGGATTGATACAAAGATAGAAAGATAGACATCAGCTGAAGGAATCTAGAAGAGGTGCACCCAGGGAAACCCAGGAAGCCAGATAAGGGAAGCTCTGCCTTCACCACAGACATTATGTTGTCCCTGTAGGCCTAGAAGATGATCATCATAGCTGCTTCTGTCTCACTTAAGACATCCGGCCAGGGATCCTGGCCGGGCATGGTGGCTCACACCTGTAATCCCAGTAATTTGGGAGGCCGAGGCGGGTGGATCACAAGGTCAAGAGATCGAGACCACCCTGGCCAACATGGTGAAACCCCATCTCTACTAAAAAAAAAATACAAAGATTAGCTGGATGTGGTGGCGCGTGCCTGTAGTCCCAGCTACTTGGGAGGCTGAGGCAGGAGAATTGCTTGAACCCAGCAGGCGGAGATTGCAGTGAGCCAAGATTGCGCCACTGCACTCCAGCCTGGTGCCTGGCGACCGAGCAAGACTCTATCTCAAAAAAAAAAAAAAGACTGGGATCCTGTCTACCCATCCCAGCCTGTGAAGGGGTTATTGAAAAGCAAATTCCATGTACCTGTGGCTGGGCCTTGGGAAATCCCAACAGGTTAAGGTAATAAAATTGTCCCAAGGCTTCCTACAGGAATTAAAATTCCTGTGACCGAGAGTTACATGCATTTGAGGCAGGCCATCCATAAGGTGGCAGATGACAAAGTTATCCTCAGTAGAAGCTAGTTGCTTAAGAAAAAGCCAGAAAACATGGTTGGCTTAAGCAGATTGTGGTTCCACCTATAAACCCCAGGAAAACCAAGGACAAGAGGAATGAGGTGTGTGGCCATGTCAGCTCTTATATTTACTTTTTATTATTTATTTATTTATTTGATATTATTTTTAAGATGGAGTCTCACTCTGTCTCCCAGGCTGGAGTGCAGTGGCACGATCTTGGCTCACTGCAACCTTCATCTCCTGGGTTCAAGCAATTCTCCTGCCTCAGCTTCCCAAGTAGTTGGGACTACAATTATGCACCACCACACCCATTATTATTATTATTATTTTGCATTTTTAGTACAGACAGGGTTTCACCATGTTGACCAGGCTGGTCTTGAACTCCTGCCTGTCAGCTCTTTTAGAAGCTAGTTTTCCCTAGCCAGGGACAGACATTTACACCCAAGCAGTAAATGAGGAAAAACACTATCATCCACACTAAAAAAGAGACAGAGAGAAAAGATCAGAATGTTCAAAACAGATTCTTCCCAATCTGTATTATTTGATCTGAGAGCGATATGCACCCATTCTGTGCCCACACCCCCCACCCACAGCACAGGATCCTTGAACTCACTGTACATCTCCCCCGATGCGTCATTGCTGCCCAAAGACTCAGGAGCGAAAGAGTCCTCCTTATTGATGAAAGAGAACAAGACCAGCCTGACCAACGTGGAGAAACCCCGTCTCTACTAAAAATACAAAATTAGCCGGCCGTGGTGGCAGGCGCTGGTAATACTTTAACCAGAGAGCCTGTAATACAGTCTCAAATAGGGGCAAGGGTGGAGGACTGTGCCCTAGAAATGCATTATCCTTAACCTTAAAAGACAAGTTTTCCTCTGTTTTGTGTGTGTGTGTGTTTTGTTTTTTTTTTTTTTTTTTGAGATGGAGTCTCCCTCTGTCACCCAGGCTGGAGTGCAGTGGTACAGTCTCATCTCACTGCAATCTCTGCCTCCTGGGTTCAAGCAATTCTCCTGTCTCAGCCTCCTGAATAGCAGGGACTATACGTATCCACCACCACGCCAGGCTAATGTTTGTAATTTTAGTAGAGTCAGTGTTTCATCATACTAGTCAGGTTGGTTTTGAACTCCTGACCTCAGGTGATCCACCTGCCTCAGCCTCCCAAAGTGCTGGGATTACAAGCATGAGCCATGGCGCCTGGCCTGTTTTGTGTCTTTTTAAATAAAATAGACATTCAGATAACATTTATGATAACTTTAATTCATCTTTGACTATGTGTAAAGAATTGCTTCTTGTGGCCGGATGCAGTGGCTCATGCCTATAATCCCAGCATTAAGGGAGGCCAAGGCAGGAAGATCACTGCAGGCCAGGAGTTTGAGATCAGCCTGGGCAACATGGAGAGATCCCACCTTAAAAAAAAAAAAATTAGCCAGGCGTATTAGTCTATTCCTGCATTGCTATAAAGAAATACCTGGGGGCTGGGCACTACTGCTCACGCCTGTAATCGCAGTACTTTGGGAGGCCAAGGCGACTGGATCACCTGAGGTCAGGAGCTTGAGACCAGCCTCACCAACATGGTGAAACCCCGTCTCTACTAAAAATACAAAAACTAGCTGGGTGCAGTGGCACGCGACTGTAGTTGCAGCTACTCAGGAGGCTGAGGCAGGAGAATCACTTGCACCTGGGAGGCAGAAGTTGCAGTGAGCTGAGATCAGGCTACTGCACTCCAGAATGGTGATACAGTGAGATTCCGTCTCAAAATAAATAAATAAATAAATAAATAAATAAAAGCAATAGCTGGGACTTAGTAATTTATAAAGAAATGAAGTTTAATTGGCTCACGATTCTGCAGGCTGTATAGGAAGCACAGTGGCTTCTAGGGAGGCCTCAGGAAACTTTCAGTCATGGCGGAAGGTGAAGGGGAAAAGGCACGTTTTACATGACTTGAGCAGGAGGAAGAGAAGAGAGAGGGGAGGTGCTGCACAGTTTTAAATAACCAGATCTCAGGAGAACTCACTCACTTTACAGTACCAAGGGGGGATGGTGCTAAACTATTCATGAGAACTCTGCTCCTGGGATCCAATCACCTCCCACCAGGCCCCAGCGCCAACTCTGGGGATTACAATTTGACATGAGATTTAGGCAGAGACACAGATCCAAACCATATCACCAACCATGGGAGCTCACACCTGTAGTCTCAGCAACTCCAGAGGCTGAGACAGGAGACTTGCTTGAACCCAGGAGTTCAACACCAGTCTGGGTAACATGGCAAGACCCTGTCTCTACAAAAAAATTTAAAATATTAGTTAGGTGTGGTGGTACACACCTGTAATTTCCAGCTACTAGGGAGGCTGAGGCTAGAGGATAACTTAAGCCCAGAAGTTAGAGGTTGCAGTGAGCTATGATTGCATTGCTGTGTACTCCAGCCTGGAAAACAGAGTGACACTCTGTCTCTGGGGGGGGGGGGGGGGGGGAGAAAAAGGAAAAAATAAGAATTGCTGCTCCTTCTCCTTCCACTGAGTCTTTGGCATTCATTAAAGCATCCAACCTTGCCAGCACTCAGAACACACGGGAAGTCAGCAGAGGTCCCTGAGCAAGTGAGTGAGGCTGAATGCCTGGGTTCTGATGGAAGAAGCAACGGTTAAAAGATTGCCACCTGCTTCTGCTGCTTCACCTCTAGCCCCCGCTGTGGGGTAATGACCCCTGAAAGAGAAGAGGGAAGGCTGGACAGAGTGCAGAGGGAGAAACGTAGATGAAAAGAAATCAGAAGGCTTTTCTTTCATGTTTCAAGTACCAAATTATGCTTGACATTTGAATTTTCCCCAAGGCTCACTTCCATAAAATCAAGCCAAATTACCCTGAAAGGGTTAGAGCTTCCCGGAGAGACTTTTGACTGTAATCAAACAGGTTTCCTCCATGGTTGCAGACATTCTGAAAGGGTCTGGGGGAGAAGAGGGAGGAAGGGCTGGCTAGGGAAAGCTGGCTGAGGAACGGCATGCGTGGAAGGTACATTTCTGGGCAGAGACTCATCGTGAACCAGAGCATAAAAACAGCTCCTTCAAACACAGACATCCCAAGGAGCTGGAAGGGTATGGAGAGGCCGGAACGTTCTGGTGCACAGGGACGTGTAATGATACTCATATTGGCTAACATTTATGGAGGTTTATTGCAAGCTGGGCGCCGTGCTGAGAACATCACTCATTTGAACTTCACAACAGCCATAGAAAAGCAGGTACTGTTATTATTATCATCCTCTGTTTGCAGATGTGAAAGCTGAGACCGGGAAAGATGAAGTCATTTATCAGGTCTTTTAAATACCAAAGCCCAAGCTACAGTCACTACTGTGCTGCCTGAATGAACAGGGACAATGCCATGGCAATGGGAAGAGGAAAGGTGAGACGTGGGCCACAATATCACTGGATCTTTTTATGAGTTGTTTGATTGGATCAATCAAATCATTTACTTCCTTTTTTTTTTTTTTTTGTTTTTTTGTTTTGAGATGGAGTCTCTCTCTTCGTTGTCCAGGCTGGAGTGCAGTGGCTGGATCTCAGCTCACTGCAACTTCTGCCTCCCGGGTTCAAGTGATTCTCCTGCCTCAGCCTCCCGAGTAGCTGGGACTACAGGCACATGCCACCACACCTGGCTAATTTTTGTATTTTTTTTTTTTTTTTTTTAGTAAAGATGGGATTTCACCATATTGGTCAGGCTGGTCTTGAACTCCTGACCTCAAATCCGCCTGCCTCAGCCTCCCAAAGTGCTGGAATTTTTTTTTTAAGTGACACTTTTCTGGCGTTTTTTTAAATTTCAACTTTTATTTTAGGTTCAGGGGTACCTGTACAGGTTTGTTACGTGGGTATACTGCATGATGCTGAGATTTGGGGTACAAAGGATCCCCTCACCCAGGTAGTGAGCACAGTATAGTACCAGATAGGTAGGTTTTCAGCCTTTTCCCCTTTTCCTCTCTCCCTCCTCTAGTAGTCCCCCATGTCTACTGTTCCCACTTTTATGTCCATGTGGACCCAATATTTAGCTTCCTGTTTATAAGGGAGGACATGCAATATTTGGTTTTCCATCTTGCATTAATTCACCTAGAATAATGGCTTTCAGCTGCATCCATCTTGCTGGAGTGCAGAGACATGATCTCGGCTCACTGCAGCCTCCGCCTCCTGGGTTCAAGCAACCCTCCTGCCTCAGCCTCCCAAGTAGCTGGGATTACAGGTGCATGCCGCCATGTCCGGCTAATTTTTCGTATTTTAGTGGAGGCAGGGTTGGCCAGGATGATCTTGATCTCATGATTTGCCCACCTTGGCCTCCCATGCTGGGATTATAGGAGTGAACCACCATGCCTGGCCAATTTTGTTCTTTTTAATGGCTGTGTAGTATTCCATGGAAATCGTCCGGTTTCAAGGGCCTCATCTAGACTAGCTTATATTCACTGGCTAACCAGAAAACACCAATTTCATCTTGGCATTCACCTCTGGATAAGCCAGTATCAATGCTTGATAGGAGTGGATGCCACATTGGAAAGAATCTCCAAGACAAGTAGTAGTTTCCTGTTGCAAGAGGCCTTGGCCCTTCCAAAAATGTCCCATCACTTCCTCAAAAATTAAAAGTAGAACTGCTTTAGGATCCAGAAATATTCCTTCTGGGTATACATATAAAGGAACGCATCTCTTTGAGATACAAGCTCTGATCTTAGGAGCAGTTTAGGGAGGGTCAGAATCTCGTAGCCTCCAGCAGCCTGACTCCTAAACCATAATTTCCAATCTTAGTATCTCAAAGAGGTATCTGCACCCACATGTTTACTGTTGCATTATTTACAATAGCCAAGATATGGAAGCCGCCTAAGCATCCGTCAGTGTGTGAATGGATAAAATCACGGTATTAGATATACAATGGAATACTGTTCATTCATGAAAAAGAACTGAATTTTACCATTTGTGCAAACATGATGAGTCTGCTGGGCATTATGCTAAGTGAAATAAGCCAGACACAAAAAGACAAATACTGCATGATCTCACTGATATGTGGAATTCAAAAAAGCCAAACTCATGCAAGAGTAGAACAGTAGCTGCGAGGGGTTGGGGCTTGGGGGAAATGGGAAGATGCTGGTCAGAGAGTACAAACTTTCAGTTACAAGACGAACAAGTTCTGGGGATCTAGTATACAGCTTGGGTGGTGACGTTAATTTGATTGTAGTAATCATGGTGCAATACATGCATATGAGAAATCATCACATTGTACACCTTGAATATATTCTGTAAGGGAATCGGGGAAGCTTCCCTCTTGGCCTTGGAGGGTTCGCTGAAGAATCAACTCACAATTAGGCAGACTAATAAGAGAAAAAGCATACACATTTATTTAACCATGCATGTGGGTCATGGAGCGACAACCCAATTTCACAATGGGGCCCAATCACTTATAGAACTGAAAACTGCTTTTGCAAAATGATGCCTGAGGCAGTGAAAGAGACCTAACCTAACCAACTCCACCTGTCTTCTAACCTCCAAGCTGTCCCTGTTCATTCTTGGGTGTAGGCCGAACTAACTTTGAGAAGACCTTAGTTTATAGTTTAAAAACAAAGGCGATAACAGCTCTTTCCCAAAATAAATCTCCTTCTTACCTGGGAACTTGACTGCCTTTGTAGGTCTAAGAAATTAGCCACAAGATTAGAAAGTATGGTTTAGGAGCCAGGCACGGTGGCTCATGCCTGTAATCCCAGCACTTTGGAAGGCCAAGGCAGGTGGATCACCTGAGGTTAGGAGTTTGAGACCAGCCTGGTCAACATGGCAAAACCCCATCTCTGCTAAAAATACAAAAAATTAGCCAGGCGTGGTGGCTCATACCTATAGTCCCAGACTTGGGAGGCTGAGACATGAGAATCGCTTGAACCTGGAAGGTGGAAGTTGCAGTCGGCCAAGATTGTGCCACTGCACTCCAGCCTGGGCGACTGTCTCAAAAACAAAAAGGAAAGAAAGGAAATTATGGTTTAGGAGTCAGACAGCTGGAGGCTACAAGAGTATGACCCTCCCTAAACTGCTCTTAAGATCAGCACTTATTTTGCAGACCCTGCTTGATGGATCAGCTGGCACCATCCACATGGATAAACTGGCTCATGTGATCTTGTGGCCCGCAGGAACTGGCTCAGCACAAGAAGACAGCTTTGACTCCCTACGATTTCATCCCTGACCATTCAGCACTTCTGGCTCACTGGCTTCCCCCCCCCCCATCCACTAAATACTCCTTCAAAACTCTAATCCCTGGAGTTTCAGGGGAGACTGATTTGAGTGATAACAAAACTCCGATCTCAGCACAGTCGGCTCTTAGTGAATTGCTCTTTCTCTGTGGCTATTCCCATCTTTAAACATTGGCTCTGTCTAGGCAGCAGGCAAGGTGAACCCATTGGGCAGTTATAGAACCTCCCATCAAAAGGGGTTATGGGTTATTCTGTGGAGAGGCATTAAATGATTACCAAGATAAAAATGAATGTGTATTTGAGAGAATGAATGGAAATTGCAAACAGAGATAGACTTGTAAATGGTTCTCTTTGGAAGCTGAATGAACCAGGCAGACAGGTATTATTTTGTAAAATGGTTAGGCCAGATCTGGCTACACTCTTGCGTTCCTTTCCTGCAATAATGAGATAGCAGAGAAGAGAAGGATAAAGCAATCATGCTTCTTGATGGGCCCAGCTGATCCTCATGAAGATAATGGAAAAGTCTTCCCAAGACCTGTGGATTTCGAAGGGTTTTTCAAAATATTCATTATACCAGGGAGTCATATTTGGGGATGAAATTCTCAATGCTCCTTCAATTCAATCTTTGTCAATTAAATATTTGAAAAGAAAATGTTTTAAGAGAATCTATCACATAGGTCTTTGCGGGTGTTGCCTTGGAAGCTGATTCTGTTTCCTTGCAAACCCCTTGCCGGCTCTGCCCACAGCTGTGGTTCACACTCGTTCCTACCGTATTTTGCTTCTTTGCTCTCAGAGCAGTGAACTCGCCTCCCTGGCCAGTGACACCACTTTAATTGAGGTCACCATCATTCTCTCACCTGGATTATTTCTAAAGCCCTCTCACAGTTTTCCACTCCAACTCCTGACCCCTCCGTGTTTCTGCCAGTGATCTTTCTACAAGCAAAGCTGATGGTTTCACCGCCTGCTTAAAGCCCTGCAGAGCTTCCTACTCTTCCCAGAGCTGAGCCCAGGATCCTCGCTGGCTGTGCAAAGACCTCCTGGCTCTGCTCACCCTGGGCACATGCATCTTTCCAAGCCTTGTGCTCCATCCACTGTGGATCATTAGCATGTCCATAAATGCTCTGTAATTTCTTCAGCCACTGGACCTTGCGTATGCCACCCTCCTATCTTCAGCCAGATCAAAGTGACATGATGGGAAGCAATATTGTTAGACAGAATGAATTCCAAGTTTCTCTTCCTGGTAGTTTGCCTATCTTCAGCAAAAATCCTGTTACATCAGTTGAGCCAAAACTCCCGTTACCCCTGATGTTTTCTCTTCGTTAGTTTCTATCTACTAACTCACACTCTGCTCTGTGGCTATATAAGCCGCTTATTCCTACTGGATTTGGAACTGAGCCAGTCTCTCCCCGTCACTGTGAGTCCCTGTTGCAGTGGTCTTCTTCACAGGGGACATCTCGTGCCAACTGTTCAGTGCTGAATGAAAGCCATGAAACAGGTGGGGGTCCAGCCCTATTGCGATGGTCCTGAATAGTCTTTCTTATTATGCCTGAACAAGTATCATGGAAGAATTTTTCTTTAACAGCTCATACACAGCATAATGGTCTGAAGACTTCACTGCCTCCTTCTCCTATTTACCGTTTACAGGTAAAGCTCTTGTCTTTCTTTTCTTTTTTTTTTTAGACAGAGTCCTACTCTGTTGTTCAGGCTTAGAGCGCAGTGGTGTGATTTTGGCTCACTGCAACCTCTGCCTCCCATGTTCAAGCGATTCTCATGCCTCAGCCTCCCAAGTAGCTGGGATTACAGATGTGTGCCACCACACCTGGGTAATTTTTGTATTTTTAATAGAGACAGCATTCCTCCATGTTGGCCAGGCTGGTCTAGAACTCCTGACCTCAAGTGATCCACTTGCCTCGGCCTCCCAAAGTGCTGGGATTACAGGCGTGAGCCACGGCACCCGGCCCAAAGCACTTGCATTTCTAACTACATCTTGGCATCTGCTTCCCAGAGGACCTGAACTGATACAGTATCATTTACGGATTAGGATACTGAGATCCAGAGAGACTAAAGAACATGCCATAGGTTGCCATCCAAGATAATAGAGAACAGATAGAATCTATGTCTTGAGAGATGAATATCATGGTCTAATGCACAACGGCTCCCTCTCTGCTAGAGGACGAATTATTTAAAAGTCCAGATAAGGACGGCGGATATTGGACCTCATGTGGTTTGGGCTGAAAAGACATGAAACCCAGAAATATTCAGGCTGGTGCCAGAAATCCATCAGCAGGCAGAAGGCCCAGTCTGTCACCCTGGGATGAAAGAGTCAGCACCGGTTTTAGGAGATCAAGATCACCAGTATTAGAACTCGTCAAGAATCAGGCAAGGAATGCTTTGAAAATCCTCATCTGTAGCGACAGTCTAAAATGAGAAGCAGGAAATAGCAAAATAAGAAAACGGGCTAGCTATATGTATGCTTCTAACTGGGACTATTGGCCAGGGTCTTTCTCATCTCAGGCTGCTTTTTGAGAGGCATCCTGGCTGAGCCAGTTCTCACCCCATGTCAAAACAAAGGCAGACCTGACAGATGGGATCAGAGAAAAGCCAATTTCCCTCTACCTTAGTTCCTTCCAGTTAGAGCAGCAGGATTCAAAAGCACAATGTGGATTACCATGGCTGGGCAGACATTTCTTGGTCATTTTCCAAGTTGAAGGAACTCTCAGAGAAGTGGGCTCCTGGACCATGCAGAGCAGAAAACAGACTGGTTTTATTCTTTAAAGTCAGTCTCTCCCACTGTATCTTCAGTCTCCCTACATTTCAGAGTATGATGTGCCACTCTGATAGAGTTTGCCTGTGTCCCCACCCAAATCTTATCTTGAATTGTAGCTCTCATAATTCCCACATGCTGTGGGAGGGACCCAGTGGGAGGTAACTGAACTATGGGAGCAGTTTCCCCATACAGTTCTTGGTAGTGAACAAGTTTCCTGAGATCTGATGGTTTCATAAGGGATTTCCCCTTTTGCTTGGCTCTCGTTCTTTCTTGCCTGCTGCCATGTAAGATGTGCCTTTTGCCTTCCACTGTGATTGCGGGGCCTCCCCAACCAGGTGGAACGGTGAGTCCATTAAACTTGTTTTTCTTTATTAATTACCCAGTCTTGGTTATGTCTTTATCAGCAGTGTGAAAATGGATGAGTACACCTTTCTATCATCAAATGAATCTAAAAGACCTTCTCCCCCAGAATAGTAGCAATTACATTTTTCAATCCATTGTTGGAGAAAGTAAGTAACAATATCTATGAAAAGATACACTCAATGAGTCAATTCCTTAAAATAAAAGTGTATGTTATTAATCTCAACATCTTCAAATATTAGAAAATGAATAATACGTATATGTACAAGATGTCTTACCTATTTGGTTCATAAGATAAGGCTTTTCTAAATGTGAACTTTATACACATGGTGTCAAGCCTGATCCTGAAAATCCCCATTTTACAGAGGGGTTCTGATGTCCCCAAGTTTCAAAGTTATTTTCACTCTGCCAGATTGGCACAGTGTGTTTTTAACTCCTTTCTGATCTCATGTGTAGGAAGAAATAGAATTTCAATTGCCTTAAATTACATTCTCTGAAATCCTTTTTCTTTTCTCTTTTTTTTTTTTTTGAGACAGAGTCTTACTCTGTCACCTAGGCTGGAGTGCAGTGGTGCCATCATAGCTCACTGCAGCCTCAATCTCCTGGCCTCAAAGTATCCCCTACCTTGGCTTCCTAAGTAGCTGAGACTATAGGTGCACACCAGCACACCCAGCTGATGTTTTGTTTGTTTGTTTTCTGTAGAGATGGAGTCTTATTATGAGGCCAAACTCCTGGCCTCAATCTGACCTCCCACTTTGACCTCCCAAGGTGCCAGGATTGCAGGCGAAAGACACTGCACCTGACCAACATTATGTAGATTCTAAATCAGAAAATGGTCAATTTCCAAAAAGGAAAATACCCCAAAGCCTCCCCATCAGCCTCTCCTACCGCCCAAGCTGTGTTGGCTGCCTGCTCTCTACTGCCTTCCTCCATCTGTGTCTCCACGCAGCCCAGACTTCTGTCAAAGCCCCAGTGTGAGCTCCCAAAGGTTAGCAACAATGGCCTGTTTCTCTCCATCCCCTTAGTGTCTAGCACAGAGTAAGAACTCAATGCATGCATCTTGACTGCATAATAAAGAAGTCTGAGGAATAAAGTCAGGAGAGAATTTCCATGGAAGGGGACAAATATTCGGGGTAAATCTTAGACGTTAATCAAAAGAACCAAGGCAGAGACTCCTGCAGTTTCTAAGACAGAAACCAGGTGACCAAGCAAAAGAATCTAATCCCTGGCTATGAGTCAATCAATCGATCAGTGATTGTAAGACGAGAACCCGATCTCATCGTGATCAAACTACAGTGGATTTTGTTCTGCATACAACAGCAGCACCAATTTTTTTTTCTTTTAGATGGAGTCTTGCTCTGTAGCCCAGGCTGGAATGCAGTGGTGCAATCTTGGCTCACTGCAACCTCTGCCTCCCGGGTCATGGTTCAAACAATTCTCCTGCCTCAGCCTCCCAAGTAGCTGGGATTACAGATACCCACCACCATGCCCAGCTAATTTTTGTATTTTTAGTAGAGACGGGGTTTCATCACGTTGGCCTGGCTGGTCTCAAACTCCTGATCTTGTGATCTGCCTGCCTCGGCCTCCCAAAGTGCTGGGACTACAGGCATGAAGCACTGTGCCCAGGCAGCAGCACCAATTTTTAAAAAATGATTTGCAAACCCCCTGCAATACTGGGCTATGCCTACCAAATGCCAAGCAATAAATAACAAAATAGAGGGTAGAAGCATCAAACAAATGGGTGTTTGAGCACCACAGAGAAAAAGTAATTAGATCCAGCCATATCCATCTGTGTGTCGAGACACACCAACCCATTCTGTGCTTTCATTCTGAGCAGAGAGTTCTGATTAACTGCAAGGTTCTCAAGCTCTTTAAAGTCTGTTTTTAAACTCGAAGGTCTGACATTTCAAAACATAAATGTTACGGGTTTTACGCATCGTGGCGTGGTGTGTTTGTCATGCTCCAATCCCAGATACATCAGCAATCCCCCACAAAAGGCAAAAATGGAAGGGATGACTTTCTAACCAAATGATTCTGCATTCATGTGCTGGCCTTTGGGTGGGATATACTCCTTTTTTTTTTTTTTTTTGAGATGGAGTCTCCCTCTGTCATCCAAGCTAGAGTGCAGTGGCATGATCTCAGCTCACTGTGACCTCCACCACCCTGGTTCAAGTGATTCTCCTGCCTCGGCCTCCTGAACAACTGGGATCACAGGCATGCACCACCGAGCCTGCCTAATTTTTGGAATTTTAGTAGAGACGGGGTTTCACCATATTCACCAGCTCAAAATCCTGACCTCATGATATACCTGCCTCTGCCTCCCAAAGTGCTGGGATTACAGGTGTGAGCCACCATGCCTAGCCGGGATAATACTCTTTGCTGGAGGGTTTAGGAAAAGTGAAGCCACATGATCCCCTGTTGAGAAGGATGCAGAGGCAGGACTGCCACCTGGACCCTGGAGAAACATGGCAGCTGGGTTCACTTCTCTTTACATTGTCCTCTTGTTCCCCTGAGAGCTGAGTCCTAGGCGGGCGACCGGAGCCTAGCAAGACAGAAGCTACAGTTCTCTCAAGACGAGTTGTCACGAAGAAAGATGTTCACTTGTCAATGCCACAGAGAAATTTTCATGGGGATTACAATTAAAATATGCCATCCAGTATGGATCGGCTTCTCTTTCGCTGTTAAGCTTCCATGCCCACTCTCTAACCAACACACACATTCAAGTGACTGTAACTTTATAGAAATAGAGCAGCCAGTTGCATTGATAATAAAAATAGCTGACATTTATTGGGTACTTACCAACTACTGAATTCCTTCGCCATCTCTCCACTGCATGCTGTCCAGAAAGCAGCCCATGCCAGGCAGTGCCACCATGGGAATTAAACAACAGGGAACTAGATATGAACGTGCGGAAACTGGGAGATGAGCTGTCCCAGAGACTACGGACAGCAGGAAGCTGCTGCTCCCTCTGACCCTTTCATTCAGTCCCTCCAGCCACACTCAGAGTAGATCAGACCAATGGTGATACCGCCAGCTGTGATCTTTGTGCTGTCTGCAGTGCATTATCTTCCTGGTCCTGGCCGCTCCCTCTCTGTCTGGAGAAATTCTACTCATTTGGGTTCCCCATCTCCTGCTTTCTTACATTGACTTTGTTTTTCTCTCTTTGCTACCAAAACTCCCAGAGAGGCAAAACTAAGTTAAAATTCAGCATGGGGTCTTCCCACCAGAATGGAAGTTTCCTGAAGGTAGGGACCTGAGTAAGTTATCTCTGGTTCTTGAAGAGTGTCGCTTCGTTCAAATCATGAGTGAATGAACAGATGAACTAAGGCCTGTGGCATCTGACTTTACTGATTATTTTAGATGTAGAAAAAGCATTCCCTCTGACATTTATTTTTTGAGATAGAGTCTCACTCTGCCCCCAGGCTGGAGGGCAGTGGCACAATCTCCACTCACTGCAACCTCAGCTTCCCAGGTTCAAGGGATTCTCCTGCCTCGGCCTTCCAAGTAGCTGGGACTACAGGTGCCCACCACCACACCCAGCTAATTTTTGTATTTGTAGTAGAGATGGGGTTTCACCATATTGTCCAGGCTGGTCTTGAACTCCTGACCTCGTGATCCACCCAACTCAGCCTCCCAAAGTGCTGAGATTATAGGCGTGAGCCACCATGCCTGGCCTCCTCCGACATTTTTTAGGCTCCAAAGCATTGCCTGAATATAGGCTAATAAAACTTTAAATTAATGCAATAATGCCATAGTAAACAATTCATTCTTCTTTGTACCCTTCATCTTTTATTTTATTTATTTGTTTGTTTATTTATTTTTTGTGGTGAAGTCTCACTCTGTCACCCAGGCTGGAGCACAGTAGCATGATCTTGGCTCACTGCAACCTCTGCCTCCTGGGTTCAAGCAATTCTCCTGCCTCAGCCTCCTGAGTAGCTGGGACTACAGGCATATGCCACCACACCCAGCTAATGTTTTGTATTTTAGTAGAGACAAGGTTTCACTGTGTTGTCCAGGCTGGTCTCAAACTCCTGAGCTCGGGCAATCTGTCTACCTTGGCCTCCCAAAGTGTTAGGATTACAGGCATGAGCCACCACACCTGGCCTCTCTTCCTCTTTAAGGTGTGAAAAGATGCAACTCAACAACTACTTTGTATGTCAAATTGCTCCTTGGTGTTCTTTTTCTTACTTTTGCTCCTATCCTAGTTGTTCATCCACATAAATTTGTTGGAAAATTCCAGAATTCATTGAAATAGGCTAACAGCAAATAATCAGTTAATAATGGCTGCTAGTAGTCATTAAAAAAGAAAGTATCTTTTTTTTTAAGCTCTTTGAAACTATTATTTGGCTTTTTGAATTTTTTTAAATTTTTTACTCTTTTAGAGAATGGTCTCACTATGTTGCCCAGGCTGGTCTCAAACTCCTGGGCTTAAGTGATCCTCTGGCCTCAGCTTCCCAAAATACTGGGATTACAGACATGAGTCACCATGCCCAAAAAAAGAAAGCCATTGTTAAGCCAGTTTTCGTTCAGGTTTTGTTGGATTTCCTTGTTGTCTGGGGAGGCAGTGTGTACTATGCATGGCCTCTATAATCATTCTCAAATGCAGTTACATTTCCAGAGGGAAATCCTTCTCTAGCCTCGGCATCTGGACCAGCAAGTTCATGGGAACTGGGTGAGAAGGCCGAGAACTGGTTTCCATCACAGGCTGACTGTAAAGTGAACATATGTCCCAAAATGTTGATTGCAGTGGGATTAGAGCCGAGCTGCTTGTGTTTGTCTACATTTTCCACTTTGCATGTTGTGCTATCCTGATTACAGATCCGATCAGAGATTATACTATAGATATAGTATCCAGTAGTGCATTACAGATACACTGTGTACAGAGATTTGCTCGTGGATTTTACTACACCATGGTTTATACTATGTATTTTCAAATTTAAAACATTATCTGTAGTTGGGTGCAGTGGCTCATGCCTGTAATCTCAGCACTTTGGGAGGCCAGAGTGGGAGGACTGCTTGAGACCAGGAGGTAGAGGCTGCAGTGAGGTATGATCATGCCGCTGCACCCCAACCTGGGCAACACAGTGAGACCCTGTCTCAAAAAAAATTAAAATTAAAATTAAAAATTATTTGTAAAATCAAGAAAAATCACACTTAAAAACATCATTTTTCTTTTTATGTCAGAAGCAAGACCCATTTTTCAAGTGTAGGTAAGAAAGACAAACCAGAGTCAAAACATAAAACAAATCCAGGACTGAATCTTAAACACACAGACCCCCAGAGACCATGCAGGTGCTCTGAGTGGCCATATATTTGGCCCTAAGGTTTAAGTAGCCAAGTGAACAAAAGGATCCCTGAGTAGCTCCACCACTCCAAGCATCAGACAGAAACAGACCAATTATCCCAGAGAGGTGTGATATTTCTCGACTCTGGGACCAAACAGAAACTTATCTTGTAAACTCTCAGAAGGTAGATTCTGGTAGTAGCAGGTTGTGTCGTTCAAATTGGCTGAGCTTATGGGCCAAGTTGCTCAGACACCATCACACCATTGCCCCTTGGGTTTGCCAAACCAAGGCAGAGCTGCTCCCAGGGCCACCTTCTCCAAACACTGGTACCCCACCTTGTCTCCTGTTATCCTTATGCTGACACTTGATCCTTCTCCTGGCTCTCTCCTGCTCAGCCCTCCCAGTTCCATCCAACATTTAGCTACTTGCCCAGCTCAACGTGGTAGGTTTGGTTCTCTGCACTCAATGGAGTCTTTTTCCTTTATAGTAGCAGCTCTGAAAATCAACGGTCTTCAAATTCCCTCTGCCTATTTATGGCCTTCATGCCAGCTCACCCCAGGCATGGCCCTGGGACCTCTGCCCTCTTGGCCTTCTAACCAGTCACCCATGGGTGAAATCAGAAAGAGCAAACAGCTACTGCCCAGCATGATCAGACGGAATCCAGACCAGTGCCAGTGCCCCTCACAGCTGGTGCCAATCCATGACTGCTTGTTATTGGACCACAAGGAAAAGAGCAGAAACTGATGGCAAGTACGTCAAAACTGTGATGGCATTGCCACCATCGCCGAGTGCAGAAACACCAGATTTGCCTTGCTGTGCAAGGTATCGACAATTTCAGGTATGGCTGACTCAAGGAGGAGTCATATGTGGGCTGAGCTGCCTACCAGTCACATCCAGCAGGACCACGTATCAGTGGCTGATGGACTGGAAATCTTTCACCAGGTTGGCTTGGGAAAAACCATCCAGAGTCCTGCAATCACAGACTGTCTCTCGTCTCGGTATAATAGCTCTATTAATTATTGCCTTTCCATTACTCTCCAGGCCTTGTGCTAGACAAATCACATATGTCCTCCCATGTAATTACTCCAAATCTCGAAGATAAATTCTACTGAAAACCCCATTTCATGATTAACATCCCAGGGATGTTCCATAGGTCACCCTCGATCTTGCAGACAGCAACGTGGCGAATCAGGAATTCAGACCCAAGAGTGTGTTTGAACCCAAAACTCATGCATTTACTATTGTCCTTCACGGAGTCGCACAGCAACATCTACTGAATATATGGAATTGGCAGGAAACCCGAGGCTGTTTTCCCTCACCGGGAGGAAGTGAGGGGTAGCTTCTCCCCTGCCTTCTTCACCTTAGCTCTTAACTAAGCCCATTATTCCTGATTTTAAAACAATTGTTCCCATGGCAACACCCTGGCAGCTTCTCTTAGCAACCATGGCTATCTTTCACAATTTTAACAAAGTTGGTTCAAACACAAAATTGCGTTTAGAAAGAATTGGCAGAGGCAAAACCAAAATGACCAGTTAACCAGCGCTGAACTTTTCATACCTCTTAAGAAATTCGTAGCAAAGTTTGAAAACAAGTAGAAAGCAGTTCTTCCAATCTGTATGAGCCATGAAGAGGGAAAAGTCCAGACTTGCAGAGTCCAGGAGATAGTTTTGAATCTGAAAAGCAATAGTATGGAAGCTTTAAAATGTGAATTGACAAAAGATTCACAAATCGAGCATATTTAAGGTTTTTGTTTGTTTGTTTTTGTTTGAGATGAAGTCCCGCTCTGTTGCCCAGGCTGGGGTGCAGTGGCAAATCTTGGGTTCAAGAGATTTTCCTGCCTCAGCCTCCTGAGTAGCTGGGATTACAGGTGCCCACCACCACACCCGGCTAATTTTTTGTATTTTTAGTAGAGGCGGGTTTTCATCATGTTGGCCAGGCTGGTTTCAAACTCCTGACCTCAGGCCAACTGCCCACCTTGACCTCCCAAAGTGCTGGGATTACAGGCATGAGCCACCGTGCCCAGCCAATTGTGTTGCTTTTCTATTGCTGTTGTTACAAATTGTCACCAACTTAGTGGCTTAAAAACAATACCGACTTATAAAATTCTGTAGATCAAAAGTCTGCCTTGCAACTCACTACGCTAAGATCAAGGTATTGGCAGGGTGCAGCGATTTCTGGAAGCTCTCAGGAAGAGTCTTTTTTCTTATCTTTTCAAGTTTCTAAAAGCAGCCAGCTTTCCTTACCTTATGGCCCCTTCCTCCTTCTTCAAAGCAAGTAACATTTAGCCGAGTCCTCAAACCGCCATCTCTTCGACACCTCTTCAGATTCCCTCTTCTGTTGTTAAGGATAATCTCTCTATTTCAAAGCCTCCCAATGTGAGATCCTTTTTTAAAAAACCAGAGGAGTTTGGAGGGAGGCAGGGGTCCCTGTGGCCTGGGGAGAGAGGGAGAGAGGTCAGCAGAGACAGGTGAGAAAGCAATAAGGCATTGGGGGCAGGCTCTGCACTCACCAGCTGTGTGACTCAGGGCAAGTGACTTAACCTCTCCTGCCCAGATTTCCTCTCCGTGGAGAGGCAATGACGTTAGGGCTCTCAGGCAATAGTGTGAAGCAAGCCTTGTGCCCAGTGCCAGGAACAGGTTAAGCACACTCCATGTCAACTTTCAGGCTACAGTTGTCACTGTGAGGACACTGAAGGCTTTGTGGAAAGAGTGGCATTGAAGCTGGGACTTAGAGAGTTGGCCAGGCAGGGACGAAAGCAAAGGGCATGACAAGGCATGGATGCATTCGGGCTCAAGAACAGCCCAGCTGGCCTATGTGGAGGAGCCTCAGAGCGCCTGCTAAACAAGGAGGCTGGAGTCAGATCACACAGTGGTCCTAACGGCTGCCTAAAAATCCCCCGGAGAGTCTCCAAAAGGATGGGATGAAAGAGAGACAGCAGGCCATTTGCGACTTGCAGGGAAATATTCTGGAATGTGTTGTTTTCTAGAAACAGGCCAGAGATCCTGGGTCCAAATCATGCTTGATAACACTCTGAGCCTATTTCCTCACTTTTAACATAAGGGTGACGGCCACCTTCCTCCAAGAGGAGTGAGGAACAAATAAGGAAATGACTTTGAAGTGCTCAGCACAGTGTCTAGGTATAGTAAGGGCGGGAAAAACATCTTTATGATTATTCTAAAGAAGCATTCCCATCTTTCTAGTGGTTTTCCAAATGTGCTTCTGGTGGTTTTAACAGGGAAACCTTTTTGTCTTAAAGAAACCTTATATGGTAAAAGAGGCAGGTCTAGTGGATTTGAGGGTTCAAAGCCCAGAATCCTTTTTTGCTTAGGCCTCTCTCTACTCTGTGTTAAAAGAAAAACCTTAGCCAGATTAAATGCAACAGTTTAGCTGAGAAAAAGAGTGATTCATGAATCAGGCCGTGTCTCAAGGTGGAGTAGGCTAAGAGAGACTCCAGTGCAGCCACGTAGTGGGAGATTTGTGGACAAAATGGGAAAGTGAGGTACAGAAAAGAGAAGTGAGGTACAGAAACAGCTGGATTGGTTACAGCCTGGTGTTTGCCTTATTTGAACACCGTTTGAACCACTGGCTGCATTTGATTGGCCAAAACTAGTTGATTGGCACAAGAGTAAGTTACAGTCTGTTTACACCCTCATTTAGGTGATAGTTTACTATGCATAGAGAAACATTTAGGCCAAACTTCAAGTATGTAAGGAGGCAGCTTTAGGCTAAACTTGACTTAACGTCTGTAAAACAAAAACAATATTCTAAGCACCCCCTAGCCGACTGAACAGACGCTTTCTGGGCTAAGGGGACTGCAGAGAAAGCTGAAAAATGGAATCCCCAGCCATGGGGTAAGATTGGACACAACTCATTACACCCCCTCCCTTTGGACTTTGGGTATAACTGTCTAGCATTAACATTAAAATAGAGATCACAAGACTGACAAAATGGACTCTGTGGCAGTAAGATACCAAATTCCAACCTGATTCTGATATAGCATCACATGTCACATAGCAGATTCCGAAGGAAATAAAAATATTTTACCCCAAAATATATTTCTTTGGCATATTTTGAAATAGCCATGCAAAGCTGTCTTTGGTGGAGGAAATTTGCATCTGTAGAGAATCTCCATTAATGCAGCTGGCCCTTTCATGGGTCTAGGAGACATTAGTTAAGATCCTGACACCTTTTTAAGTCCAAAAAGAGACATTTACCATCCATTCTCTCTGATGCCTGCTACTTGGAAGTTTCAACTGCCTAGCAAGAACCTTGGTCTCCACAACCTCTCTCATCTTAATGCAAACATTTCTTTCCACTGACTTTAAGTCTTTAGATAAAGCGTAACTCATCAAACAAAATCTTTGAATCCACCTATAACCTGCAAGCCTCTGCTTCAAGATGTCTCGCCTTTTCAGGCTTGAACCAATGTAAACCTGCCATGTATTGATTTAAGTCTTTTTCTATAACTTCTGTCTCCCTAAAATGTATAAAACAAAAGTGTAACCCAACTGCCTTGAGCACACTTTCTCGTGACCTTTTGAGACTGTTCCCTGGGGCCATGATCACTCATATTGACTCAGAACAAGCCTCTTTAAATATTTCATGGAGTTTAGATTCTTCATCAACACCCGCAAGGAGCCTCCCTGGAGAAGGGCCTTCCAGTGATCTTCCCACCTGGTCCAACTCCTCCATTGGGGAGGTCCATAGTGGAGGATGCCTTGGCTAGAGCTACATCTTGTGACCCCTTCACCTGGGACCAAGACTGGTTTCTGAACCACCGTTCAACAAATAGCCACTTCACTAAGTCAGTTTAATGAAAATCAATGAACTTTACATTAGTTTACTGAATGCCAAGTCACCAAATGACTAATTTCTGAGTTTTCGAAATCATCAATAACTTGCTATTTAAAACTCTTAATCATGTTTGCCACAATTCATGTTGGACCAACAGGCAGGAATACGGGGAGCCTGGACTCAAGCCAGATACTTATAACCCACCAAGGGGGTCATTTGCCTGCTGCCCAGATAAGGCCAATTTCTTAAGACAGGAGAATTACAATAGAGAAAGAGTATTATTTTTTTATTATTATTATTTTTTTTTTTTGAGACGGAGTTTCGCTCTTGTTACCCAGGCTGGAGTGCAATGGCGTGATCTCGGCTCACCGCAACCTCCGCCTCCTGGGTTCAGGCAATTCTCCGGCCTCAGCCTCCCGAGTAGCTGGGATTACAGGCACGCGCCACCATGCCCAGCTAATTTTTTGTATTTTAGTAGAGACGGGGTTTCACCATGTTGACCAGGTTGGTCTCGATCTCTCGACCTCGTGATCTACCCGCCTCGGCCTCCCAAAGTGCTGGGATTACAGGCTTGAGCCACCGCGCCCGGCCCCGAGAAAGAGTATAATTCATGCAGAGCTGGCTGAACAGGAGACCACAGTTTTATTATTATTCAAACCAATTGCCTTGAAAAGTTGAAGAGTAGAGTTTTTCAAAAATAGTTTAGTGGGCAGGGGGCCAGGGAGTGGGGCATGCTGATTGTTTGGGTCAGAGATGAAATCATAGGGAGTCAAAACTATCCTCTTGCACTGAGTCGGTTTCTTAGTGGGAGCCACAGCACTGGTTTGTGAGTCCAGGTAGAACCATCAGTCATCAGAAATGCAAAAACCTGAAAAGTCATCTCAAAAGGCCAATCTTAGTTTCTGCAATAGTGATGTTATCTGCAGGAATAATCGGCAAAGTTGCAATATCTTATGATCTCTGGAATAATGGCTGGTAATCATCTAAATGTACTTATATCTTAAAGAATTTAGGCCCTTCTCATCCTCCTGACTTAGTGGCCTTTCATTAGTTTTACAAGGGCAGTTTAGTTTTGGGGATTGGCTATTTTATAAACGATAAACTAAATTTACCCCAAAGTTGCTTGGTTCATGCCCAGGAATGAGCAAAGATGGCCAACCTGTGAGACTAGAAACAAGATGAAGTCAGATTTTGCTTACTGTCATAATTTTGTAAAGATGGTTTCATACCTTCACATCCTCGGCATAACCCCTGGGTCTCTTTCTCACTGCCCCCAGTTCCCATCCCCTCTACCATTAGTCTGCCTATTCCCCCACCCCAGTATCTTCCTCTACCCCTCAAAGTGCTAGGCTCCTCATTCTATCCTCCAGCCTCTGTCCTCTCCATTTACCCTGCCTTAGCCTGTGATACTATGATATAATACAAAATAGATACTTGGTCTTTGTCTCTGGTTCTTGGCACATATCTTATAAAACCCTTAGAATTTTCTGAATGATGAGGGTGGGAGGAGCATCTTTTGTTATTCTTAGCAAGCTCATCAATCATAACTGAGTTTATGCTAATGAGGTGACTGTTAGATGATGGGAGCTGGTTGTGAAAGAAACCACCTATGTGATTAGAAGATTGGAACTTTTAGCCCCACTCCCCCATTTTCCCCCAAATCATCAATAACTTGCTATTGGAAGTGGAGAGTGGCTGGAGATTGAGTTCAATCACCAATGGCCAATGACTTCAGCAATCATATCCACATAATGAAACTGTTATAGGACCACCAGGTTTGTATGCTCACTGCAGAGTAACATACCAATACACTGAGACAGAAGGGTTTACAGCAGAGAAACAGTTTAATGATCACAAGGAAGCCAAATGAGGAAACGGGAGGAACCCTCAAATCCATCTCTCCAAGGAGTTCTGGGCTGGGAATGTTAAGCGGACCATGATAGGCAAGGGGCTGGAAAACTGGGGTCATTGATTGATTGACGAAAGAGGGATTAAATTATCAGGAAGTGGAAACTGCATTCTTTGGTGAACCAGCTCCTTATGGGAGCTTCAGACCAGCTGCTGTCAGTAGTTTCATCAGTATGCAAGACCTGAAAGAGTATCTCAAAGGGAAAATGTAGTGTTGTTTCACAATGCTTAAGTTGTTATCTACAGAGCAGTTAAGAGGAACTATAATTTTATGACAGTCTGCGTTACTCTGGGGAAACAGTCACCAAGTAACTATGAGGAAGCAGGTCAGAGAGCAAGGTGACCTAATGATGAATGCCAAAGATGCTACAAGTTTGGTTTATTTTTACTTATTACCCTGTCTTCTTTCCTGATTAATATTACAAATTGCATGGGGATGATTTCAAAACTTCCATAAAAAAAACCCAATGGGGCTGGGTGCGGTGGCTCAAGCCTGTAATCCCAGCACTTTGGGAGGCCGAGGCAGGTGGATCACGAGGTCAACAGATCGAGACCATCCTGGTCAATGTGGTGAAACCCTGTCTCTACTAAAAATACAAAAATTAGCTGGGCACGGTGGCGCGTGCCTGTAATCCCAGCTACTCAGGAGGCTGAGGCAGAACTGCCTGAACCCAGGAGGCAGAGGTTGTGGTGAGCCGAGATCGTGCCATTGCACTCCAGCCTGGGTAACA